TTCAAGCCGACAAAAGTAGAGGATCGAGTTGTCTCCGCGCATCCGATCGAGAACTTATCTCGTACAATTCAAGTGGATGTATTCAATCGGATGGAGTCTCGATCCGATGGAAGCGACGAGATAAACGTAGTCATAGATTCCAATGTTAATTCTCCAGGCGCAGTCCTTGTGAAAGAAACTATGTATACAATACACAATGACCTATATAAAAGTTTCGTAAAATGTTAATGAAATACCTACTCCCGCCCGAAGAGCTGAAACAAAAAACCAAATGAAGTGCATAAATTTGAAGGGAAGTAATTTTTAGCACATAAATCTTAGCTAAAACTAAAGTGTATAAAAAAACTCAATGTTTAAGCCCACAATAAATTAGATGTCCCAAATCCCTTTACGACCTACATGCAGGCTACAATAAATTGATGATATGGCATCTAAAGGCTTTTATTCATATTTTTTCAGTAGAAATACGAGTGTGTCTGATGGCTTAGGAGTATTGGAATAATATTAGATACTTCAAGTGGTAATGAATTCATAGATAGGATCCTCAAACAATTTAATGCTAACCTGAATAATTAAAAAAAACACTAAACGTTTACAATGTGGAAAATTACTTTTAATTCAGTAGGTAGCAGCAGTGTCTATTGAGAAAGGCATTCTATTAAAAATTCAAGTAATTCCATTAGATCGTTATGTAATTCCCACTTGTCTTGCACAACACAACAGCGAACAAAGTGTGCTGTGCAAGTTGAAGTACTCATAGATTTTCAAAAAGGCAGCGTTAGACAAGATGAACAAGGCTGTACTACAAAGCTGTTACAATTTAAGTGTCGTCATGTCGTGTAATTTCACTTACGTAATCGATATTAATATAATCAAGCACGCGCGAGGAAAAAAATGTATCGAAAGCGAAAGGGACCAACACAAAAATGCTTTTACTTGTATTACGCATGTTTATTTTTCTCCTGGCGTATTTAATCGGTCGAGAATAAAGGCGTATATTTAACGTATTAACGGAAAGCCTTTGGATATCGCTTACTGACTGATACCAATAATCCGCTGCCATTCCAATTCCGTACTAAGGAAGTTGTAGCCGTGCCAGTAGTGAATTAAGACGTCCAAAGATAGATTTTGTGAGGTAAAAATAAAAGAATGAAAATCAATACTTGGTTTCAAAGGTACATTTGACCAAAATATGGAAAAGCTATTGAGAAACAGATCAAATTTAACTTGTTGTTACCCTTGTTTGACAACTTGCAAAGTTCAAGATGCCGTCTACCTCATATTGCTCGACTAGCATTTGATTTTAAGTCACATTAACTCATTGCATTAGTTTAGTTATTATTTGTTTTACTGCAATCTACGGTTACTTCGCGAAATCCAATTTGCAGTCACGAACTTATAAATTAGTATGGGCTGCTGATCAAACAATTGCATAGAGGTAGAAATGGCCCTAGCATGGGCGCGGCCATGATGTGCACGTATTAGTTATTTTCTATGGGAATTTTTCTAGTGCTCAAGTTTTTAGACTATTGCAGCCTTGGAAAACATTTGGAAAATGACGTGTGTCACAGTAATTTATTTAGGAAACGTGAGGTTAATGCTTGTTTATTTGATTCGAATTTCGTGCCAAGTGAGTGCACATCATGGCTGCCCATGCAGGTGTCATTTGTCAATTCAGCATTAGCAAGTCCATCCGTAGCCTACCGATAGAACTAGCCGTGACACTCATCCCCACTATTGCGTTGACGTCACAACTGACGGCGGCCGTCATATCGACTTTTAATGTAATTAATTCCAAGTAGTTTAATGTTGTACACTTAAATTAACTGTATTCGAACAGAATCAGTAAGAAAATGCCAAATACGTGCTGCGTCCCTGGTTGCAAAAGCAATTATAGTTCAAGAGACAAGGTTCCTTACGGTTTTTCGTTTTCCGAAAAATGAAGACGATCACAAAAAGTGGTTAAGATGTATTCACCGGGACAATTTTGAAATTACTAGTTACTCCAGGGTTTGTATAAAGCATTTCTCCGACATTTTCATTATTCGGGTAGACAAGATGACTAGATAAGACGATACAGTATTAACAGTTCCACGAGACCAAATAAAACTTGCCGAAGACACGTATCCCACCATTTTTGAAAATCAGCCATCATATATGAAAAGGATGTAAATGATGAGTAACGGGAAAATATAGACCTTTGCAACTACAAATGACCGAAAACCTGTAGTCTCTAGGTGGTCCAGGGGCCGAGATCTCGATGGAACAGACAGATAGGCAGACGACGGAATAACGAGCACATAAGCGTTACCTCAACTTCGTTGTGTTACGCTAAAAAAGGCAGATGTGTGTATTAAAATGTTTAAATTTTGTTTTCAGCTCGGTTTTCAGTGAGTATTTGTTGTTTATGTACGTATTTAATAAAATTTTTGCATAATAACACAACACGTGTCTATAATTAGGAAACAACATATAACAATCCTGCGGCTCAAAATAAGTAATTACTAATGTTTTCGCGTTAAATGAGTACGCACGCGAATCAAATTGCATTTAAACACATAGTATCGCGTTGCAGTGGCCCATCTCCAGTTGTGACGTCACTAAATCAATGTCACGGCTAGATCTATCGGTAGGCTACGGTCCATCTTAATTTATAAGTTCGTGTTTGCAATACAAAAATTGTGGACAGGCCAATTTCAGATGTTTCTGGAATTAATCAAACTTTTTGAAAGAAATTATTAATGTTATCTTCGTACTTATTTTCATTCGTTAACTTGACCAAAAATAAATGCTTAGCTGTTCACTGTTGTCCCAAAAGGTAATAACTAATAAATTTAGAACTTTCAAGTATAATATTTTTTTATAACCCGAGTATCGGTAGTGTACAGGGTCTCCCATTAATAATGGTCACAGACCATATCTATGGAACCGTTTAATGTTAATTGCACAGCTTCTGGAAAAAATTTTTGTTAACAAAAGGGGCCAAGAGAAATCGCTGGATGAGAGAATGTCACATCGCGCTCTCTACCACTCATCACATTTACTAACAAGACTCTATTCATGTAAAATCTGATTCCACGAAGAGAGCTCCTATTATGTGAAAATCTGTTAACCTAAACCGAAGTTCAATTCCTTAAATCTAATGCCCCTCTTCTTCTTTCGCCCAATTACAGAGTGACTGGCATAATGTTTTTTTAGATGTGCCCCTGGAAAAGGTCTTAAGTTGTTCTATTACTACTCCTGTATTTACCTTACGAATTAGGAAAACTGCAGAAAAACCTAATTCGGAGTAGCCGGCAGAATGCTCGAAATCTAAGGAAATTCCCATCTTTGCCGCAAGTGAAAAATTTTTCTGGAGCGTAATCATAACGGTTCTAAGAACGTCTTCGACCCACACTATTCTCATCACACAAATCCCTCAGGATCCTCGTTCTTTCGTTCTCTGAATCTTTAAACCCTTTATGAATTCTATCTGTATCCCATCTATCCCAGTACTCTTAGCATTCTTGATATGTCTTATAACCGGCTTTATTTCAGACATCAAAATACTCCCATCCTTATCTTCCTCTGTATTTACTCGTTCAGAGGTTTCTCATTTGCTGGGAAGTACGCTACATGTGTCATATGAAAGTCTAGAACTTGGTATTTCTGGTTACCGAAAATTTAATGGAAGCTTTGCGCAGATAATCACTTAGACTTAGAGGATGATCAACCTGGAAATATGTTTTGTTAATCCGCAAGGAGACCAATGGAGCGGCAAAGTCCCGATTCCTGATAAGAACGAAACTTTGCTCAAACATAAGTTTACAGTAGATTTATTTCTACCACCCAGAAATACCCTTGAGCTAAAAAATTAAAAAGTTTGAAGAGAATGTAATTCTTTCTTTCCAAGTCACAAAAAATTGTTTTTTAAAAGGTAAAATGCAACAATGCTAAATTAGTATATAGACATTCTACAAACAGTACTATAAAAAAATTATATGTGAAATTGACAAATACGCCAACGATACCATTACGTTCACTCGCTCAGAAAATTGGTCTTTTTATAAAAAAACCCACGTCTTACGTAAAATGCCTTCATTTGTATTGCAAACTCTATATTTCGTTGGCATTGGAACGTATTGAGTCGTCAATAAATGACAGAATTTGCCTCGTTAAATCACTGGGAGCGCAATCAGCTTTCAAATACGCAACTAGGAACCAGCTCGTTATACAATCGCAATAAATATAATTTTACACAAGCGTCAATTTGTGTTTTGGTTTAATCAATTGTTGCCGATTTTATGGCGAAATTGAGTGTTAATTGTGCACCACTTTGCTGCGGAAAACAGATTTTTATATATTGCTTCCAGCCGCAGCAATAATGTGCCAATTAGTTTTGTATATACCAATTTCGTAATACATTTCTAAGGACGTAAGTAAAGGACGAGTCCAATCCATTCTGTAAGATAAGCGGCAGGTATAAATATTGCCAAGGTGGAGTTCCCATAAACTACGGGAATTGTTCAATAACAATGCGTTTATATTGTTCCAATATTGCATTAACTCCTGCTGATCTCAATCTTGGTATATTCGACAGTATGACTTGCACGAAACGAAACATCGGAGTTGTACATCCACACTCGAAGCTGAGAAATTCTGCAGTTTATGGTAAATAAACAAACTCTATTAACAAAGGACATTGAACGTAACCGCTTATAGTAATTGGCCGTATTTGAGCGTACATTTGCAAGACAATCCGCCTTGCCAGTTGTACATTTAATTGAGTGCTCTAAGAAATTTTTATTACGTATTTTAAAGTAAATCTTTAAATGCAATTAGAGAAGCGAAGGCGTAATCTTTAAGAGCCCAGTCGGGTTAACCCACCACCAAAGAGTCAACATTACTTCTGAACGATCCTGTGCCATTTAAATCGAAATGTAAGTGCAATCAAGGAAGTGAAGGTATTGGAAGTGCAATTGGTTGGATATTTTTAATTTTTAACACTTTAACGTTGTGGTATATTGGAAGAAATATACGCCAAAATAATTCGTATATTTTGTGATACACCTACAAATTAAGTATAGTTAAATAACTTAAACATGTACAATAAAATTAATAGCACAATCGTCAATCGCGTGGTCACTTCTTTCTCCGGTTCGTCATTAATGTCAAAAACGCTGTCCACGTTGACGTCACTTCCCGTGGTTAAGTACCCGACAACACTACACCCCCGCACTTTGCTTAAACTAATACAACATGTAATCAACAATAAAATACATACATACATAGTTACAATAAATTAACCTCGTCTACTAGAACAAAATCTAGATTTTTCTTACGTGTTGTACCTGACGGGTATTCTAATTTTTCTCTTAGGTCGGCCCTCCCTTATCGTATTAGGTAAATTTACCGGTGTAGAGTTGGAAATATTTCGTGTTTCATTATGCACTGGATTTGGATTGGATGGGAGTTTGGGAAAAACCGTTCTTCTCTCTTCTTGTCGCATTTTCGCTGGTAGTGTGTTGTCCGGTGGAACTTGTATGATTTGGTCCTGGTGTCTTCTCCATATTCTTCCATCTTTCCCTCGACACAAATAGTTTTTCTTTCCAATAACTTCTTTGATCTTGGCCTCTGTCCAATTTTTGTTATTTACGTCTTTATAATCTCTTGCCATTATCGTATCCCCCACTTTAAATTGCTTGTACTCTTTTCCTTTACAGTTCTGGATCTGCTTTTCTTGATTTTCTCTAACTTTCCTGTCAACGTTTGGCTTAAGGATGTCGAAGACTGTTCTCAGTTTCCTACCCAACATTAAATTGGATGGTGTTTCATTTGTTGTAGAGTGTATTGAACTTCTATAGGTTAAAAGATATCTACTGATGATTAGATTAAGGTCAGCATGTTTATTCTGGAACAGTGCTGCTTTAAGTCCCTTTTTGAAACTTCGTACTGCATTCTCCGCTGCGCCGTTTGTTGCTGGATGGAAAGGAGCTGATGTTATATGCCTCACGCCGTTGTTCTTTAAAAATTCTTCAAATTTCTTCGACACCAGTGAAGGTCCATTATCCGAAACTACGCAATCTGGGATTCCCCATCTGCAGAATGTATCTCTCAGTTTGTCGATTGTCATTTCTGTTGTAATGTTCTTCATCTTGAATATCTCTGGCCATTTGCTGTAGGAGTCTATAATAATTAAGTAGTATACATTATTGATAGGACCGCAAAAATCCATGTGTATCCTCTGCCATGGTCTCTCCGTTCTGTTCCAAGGCGTTGGGATCGACTTCTGTGGATTATCCATCGTCTTTAAACATGGTAAGCAGGATTTACCCATTTTCTCTATCTCTTCATCCAGTTTTGGGAACCAGAAGTAGCCTCTTGCAATTGACTTCATCTTTACAATCCCTAAATGGCTGGAATGTAATTCATTTAATAATTGATGTCTAAATTTCTTAGGTATAATGACCCGATACCCCCACATTATGCAATTTTGCTCTATCGTAAGCTCATTCTTACGAATAAAGTATGGTTTTTCAGTTTCTAAAACTTTTTCTGGCCACCCCTGCATTAGATAGTTGTAAATTCTCCCAAGCTCAGGATCTCTTCTAGTCTCTATTGAAATTTTTTGACTGTCAATAGGTACCCCTGCAGTTACTACTAGGTTCAAATAACTTTCTTCGTCCTTTAAGTCGTCTAGGGTTCCTTTGAGTGCATGTCTTGAGAGCATATCAGCAATGTGATTATGTTCTCCCTTAATATATTCGATATTGTAGTTAAAACCAGTTAAGAATAATGCCCATCTCTGCAATCTTGATGCTGCCATTTGCGGTAAACCTTTGTTTTCCCCAAAAATCCCTAACAATGGTTTATGATCACATTTTATTGTAAATTTAGTTTGGCCCATTAAATAAAAATAAAATTTTTTTACCGCCCAATAAATTGCTAATGCTTCTTTGTCTAAAACAGAATAATTTTCCTCTGCTTTGCTCAGGGTTCTCGAAATAAAAGCTACGGGTCTCAAATCGCCATTGTCTAATTGGTGCGCTAAACATGCTGCAATGCCTTGTTTAGATGCATCGGTTGTTACCACTATAGGTTTGTGTGGATCAAAATGAATTAATATTTTATCAGATGATATTAATTTTTTAATCTCGGCAAATGCTCTGTCGCAGAGTTCATTCCAATGGAAGCCGTTGTCTTTCTTTAACAACAAATATATTGGTTTCATTATTATGGATAATTTAGGTATAAATCTGGAGTAGTAGTTAACAAGCCCTGCAAAGCTTTTAACTTGAGTGACTGTCTCTGGTACCGGTGCCTCCAAAATTGGTTTAATTTTGTCGCTATTCTTTTTTAAGCCTTCTTTACAAATAGTATACCCTAAGTATGTTATTTCTGGTTTAAAAAATGCACATTTTGACCGTTTAACTTTAAAACCTGCTTCTTGCAGTCTCGTGAACACTTTATCCAAATTTATTTCATGTTCCACTCTTGTAGAACCAGTGACAATTATGTCATCGAGAAAATTGGCACATCCATCTAGACCTTGTAGTGTTTGCTCAATTACCCTTTGGAAAATAGCACTGGCTGGTGTTATCCCAAATGGTAATCTGTTGACTTTGTACAGACCTTTGTGGGTGCTCCATGTGAGTAACTGTGTTGACTCATCTCGAAGACTCAACTGATTGTACGCATCGCTAAGATCAATTTTTGTAAACGACTCACCATTTGTTAGTTTTGAGAAAATGTCTTCAAACTTCGGTAGCGGATACTTCACTTCTTCCAGTACCTTGTTCACCGTGATCTTGTAGTCACCGCATAGCCTAACACCCCCTCCCTTCTTAAGAACCGGAACCAGCGGTGTCCCCCATTCGCTGCTTTCAATTTGCGAAATGACACCCAACTTCTCCAGTCTGGAAATTTCTTCTTCTACTTTCGGTTTAAGGGAAATGGGAACAGTTCGAGGTTTAAAAAATATTGGTCGGGCGCCTTCTTTCAACTGTAATTTAAATTGTTTTAGTTTATAACAACCAAGTTTTTCTTCGAAAATCTCTTTATGTTTCTCAATAATGTGATTCGAATCATTGTTTAACTCTAAAATATCTTGTATTACCAATTTGCAATTAAATTTTTCTAAAAAATCCCTACCCAATAAATGTTGCCTTACATTGGGGATTACATATAAAATAAAATCCTCAACCGTATAATTTTCAAACATTAAGGTGCCTTTTAAGTACCCAACTGGTCTTAAATTGCAGTTTGAAAAGCTACGGAGTGAAACATCTGTATTGAATAACTGAAGATCAATAAGATTTTGACGGTAGCAAGCTTCACTTACTACGGATACTCCGGCACCACTATCCACTAACATATTTAAACTTACATTGTTAAATTTAACATTTGTTGTGACAGGATTTCTATTACTAAATTCTAACATATTTATTACCTCGTCCGATTGTGCATTGTCCTCTACAAAATTCACCGATTTACAAACGGTTGCTAAATGTCCAACTTTACCACAGACATTACACTTGTAATTCTTGTACTTACAGATTTGGTTTCCCGTGTGTTGCTTCCCACAACACTTGCATGTCCATTTACTTGCCGCTTTGCTGCTGTCACCTGATCTTGCACCCGATTCCACCCTTTTCTGCTTTTCATAACCCCTGGTTTTGTTAACCTTCTTCCTCACTGCCACTGTGTTGATGTTCTTGGAGTCTGCCAACATGGTACTTTCCTTGTTCAACGCTAATTCTAGAAGTTTTGAAAAATCTGTAGTAGGCTTTTCTTCACAAATTCTGTCCCTAATCTTCCCCGGCAATACACCGCAGACAAATTTGTCTCTTAAAATGTCCTGTAGGTTATTTCCGAATTCGCAATTAGTCGATAGGTTGTGAATTCGCGCGTACCATTCATTCACCGTTTCATTTTCCTCCTGTCGAGCTCCATAAAATTCAATTCGTTCTCTGAATACGGACGTTGTTGGTGAAAAGTGTTTCCTTAAAAGGGTACACAGTTGCTCGTATGTAGATTCCTTCGGTAACGTAGGTGTGCATAGATCTCGTAAAATTCTGTAAGTGTCATGCCCGATGAGGCTTAATAACGCCGAAACTCTTTTTTTGCAGGATTCGGTGTCCTTAATGTCGTTAATAACAAAAAATTGTTCCAATTGCTCTTCATATAAGATCCAATTGTCTGCTTTCATGTTAAAACTGTTTATTGTCCCTATTAACGGCATTTTTGTGGAATGGAAGTTTGACCTTTGACCTTTTGGAGATGTGCTATTTGCTTGCAATTTCCCGATTACTTTTTGTTTACTCTCGTCGCCACTGTGGTATATTGGAAGAAATATACGCCAAAATAATTCGTATATTTTGTGATACACCTACAAATTAAGTATAGTTAAATAACTTAAACATGTACAATAAAATTAATAGCACAATCGTCAATCGCGTGGTCACTCTTTCTCCCGTTCGTCATTAATGTCAAAAACGCTGTCCACGTTGACGTCACTTCCCGTGGTTAAGTACCCGACAACACTACAAACGTAATTAAGATTTCTTTAATTAAATGTTTCATTCGATTGCTTGTTGCGTGGTCTCTTGTTCTGAGCGCCTATCTTTATTTCAGCCTTATTCATTGATTTTGTTTTATTATACCGTGCCGTATGAGGATTTTAAACATCGGGATCTCGATTTGCATGTAGTTGCATTCGTAAATGTAAGCCGTTAATTTAATTGAGTATCTACGGATTTGGCAAGACCGTATTTTGCATCTAAATGTTGTTCTTGTTTGTTCCTTTATCTTGCCGGTGACGATTCGAAATTGGCACTCACCAACAAAGCAATTACACATATTTGTGTGTTTACGTAAAGTTTATTTACATTGTCGTGGGTGGGGTTCCAGTGGAACTTGCTGGAAGTTTAACCAGTAACGTTGAGTGTTTAATTACTCAATGCCAGTATTCAGTGGGTTTATTTTTATAACAACCTTTTAATCAGGTATTATTTAAAAGCTGTTCAATTACCAAAAGTAGTCAATAAAAAACATAATTACACTTTTCGAGTAGCTTTTGTGCTTTCCCTCTAAGACAAGGCTTTTTGTTACATTACTACACCAATCAATACATACAACGATCCGGGAGGTATGAAAGCAAAAAAAGTGAAGCGTTAAGGCTTGTCGGTTGGTGTCCTTTTGTATCTAGTAAAATGCAAATCTATCCTGAATAAATCACCGGGATTTGTGGATTCTTCAACTACAGCGGAGCAATTAAAACTCAAGCTTAAACACCCTCGCATTAATCAGTGTTACAGATTGCAGTAGCAGATAGCCGTAATTACGAAAGGCGACTCTGACATACTTCTTTCATACCCGCATTAGTATAAGTTATCTGTCACAATCAATAATGACTGTAACCCCATTTTCACACGTTCATGCGGTAGCACGGTACTCGAGTTCTAAACCGCAATGGCATGCGTGCAACTCGGTTACCGTACTTTAACTGGATCATTTATTCTGAAAGTTGAAATTTATTTTATTTACACTGTTCCTAATTGCGCGAAGACTTGCGCTCTTAAATTTGTACACGTACCGATACAATTTCATTGTATTGGCGATTGCATTACAACTCGTTAGTGTGCCTGGAAAAGTTTGTTCAACAGTAACTCCCTTAAAAGTTACATCTTGAAAATGCACCACTCAGAGCAATTGAAATTCATTATTAGTACCTACTACTACGACTTATAGCCTTTTAGTAGTGTCGATTATCACACTCATCGCACACGTTAGTAGCACCACACTTTGGTCCTATGGAGATACCTGCAGACGCATCTTTAGAGTTGCCTTTTTAGCGAACAATGTAGTTTAATGTAGGTTTTACGCTGAAAAAAAGGAAATAAGACTAATTTCAAATAATCCAATAAAAACGAAGCATTATAAAGTGAAACAGGAAATTAGGGAAAGTTTCTGTAGTCATAGAACCACCTCGCCATAAAGATACGTATCATCAGTTGTCAGTGATTAAGACAGTAGGTGAACTTCTTATCAAATTAGTTTTCAACTAAAGTAATTGGATGTAGTTGACATGCTAAGATTTTGATAGGAGTGTGAGAAATCGTAGATAATCTACATAAATAAAAATGAACCACCGAAATGGATGTACGGGTATACTTCAGAACGACTATACCTACCAAATTAGATAATTCTTTTTTTGTTGTATTTGTTATTATCAGGTTTGTATAACATATCATTTAAAAAAAACTGCACGAAAAGACGAAAAATTCAATTTTCCGTCATTTTAGTTCGCAATTAAATAATAGATGGCGCCACTACTAATAAATAGAAATTTTAATGTTTGTATGTCTCTTATGCCTGGCTAAAATGTTCATCCGACTGCGATGAAACGTTAGGTTGGACGTACGCCCGCGAAGGCTTCTGATACAGTGTTGCCGGTTCTAAAAACCGTCCTTACGAAGCACAAGGGCGCACTTTCTATCATACCTCTACATGTAAAAAAAATAGCCGAAGCTTGGATCTCGTTGGGTACGTTACGATTTTTTAATTCGGCGAGTACATAAGTAAAAATTAGGTAGGGAAGAGGGATTTTTCGCAGCGAAATGTCATACGAGTTAAGATCGGCATGTTTAGATCGCACAAAGTTTTATTCTTCATTAAAGGTTCGAGATAAAGCATAAGTACAGGGTGGCGCGCGGGAACGATCGATTATGAATAAAGAAATAATCAAAGAGAAATTAATCTTATGTACATATCTTCGTAACTATTATGAAGATGATCATGCCATTTGATGTCACTTCAATAAACATGTCACTTTTTGAAAATTGTGTCTCTTAGATAAGCTCCTTCTAAGCGCACGCATTCCTCCATTCGCGAACGCAAATTTGCCATAACTCTTTGCAACAACTCGACAGAGATCAATGAAATCTCTTCACGAATCCTGTCCTTGAGTTCATTGGTGTTATGTGGGCGAGTTCTAAACACTCGATCTTTCAGACCCACAAAAAAATCACACGTTGAAAGATCTGGGGACCTGGCGGGCCACTCGACATCGCCTCTTGCTTGCTCATAACTGTCGTTACTTTTGTAAAATGCCTTCACAGCGAATGCACGTTCTTGACCAGCCCAATTTTCCATCGCAAATGAAATGGCGAACTTTTCTACACACAACCACGTCAACAAAGTGTTGTCATCGTTCCAATTACAATAATACTAATCGATTCATAATCGATCGTTCCCGCGCGCCATCTTGTATAAAAAAGAATCGGCATCATCGTAATCGTACGTGATGTTTTATTGCGAAAGCCGAAGTTAATTGCCGAATTTTAAAGGAAAACTGTTCACTTATTAAATTTCAAGAAACCCGAAGCCCAATTTGTACGTCGGCATCCGTTGTGGAATAAATACCTACGCAGAACGTAGATAAAATTGCATTTTACTCCAGTGACCCACATTACACATACCATTTATTTACACCTTGTTCCTGATTTCTCACAGCAAGTATTATGATATCTTTTGGAGATTAATGCTATTGTGAATTGCTTCGATACTTCTGATTTTACTTACTTTTTGTCGTTACGAAGAATACATCTTTTGACACCCCTATTTTATCTACGTTAATTTTTGTCGTTCCGAAAATGTCAAAAATACATATCTTGCGTATTAAATCCTGATGGTTATACTATACGGATGCATACTGTTACCGAAAGGGCAAGGAGTTTTTCTCTCATCATAATTAACATTGAACTTCAAGTTTGTTCAATTTATAATCCCACAGGTAAAAGTAACAAATTATTCATCGAGCGAGTAATTGATTTACGGTCGATAAAGTCGAAAGTGGTCGTAGTAGTGCCCAAAGTGAAATTAAACAAATTCGTATTCGTATCCAAAACCGTTATAAATATATTAAAAAATGGCTTATTCTATTCAAATGTCTAGAAAAGATCTTTCGGCTAGTTACCCGTGGCAAAACAGCTTTAAAAAGCATAGAATCTCAACCAACCATATGCAAATAAATAGTAAATTGACCCAATTTGCCTTTGAGCATTGCATGTTTTTCGACGAATTTTAACTGGCGCACTCGCATCGAATAGCTTTGGCAAAAAGCACACCCGCAGGGAAATACAACCTCGCATATTGCGACATTGAGTATTTATTTACATTTTTGCGTTTCAATTGAAACGCTATTAAAAGGTTAAATCGCAAGAATGGAACATTTTATGAATTCATTTAAAGCTTTATTTGATTTGAACCAAATCGGCTATCAAGCGAAAACGATATACATTTATTTGTAGGGAAATTGCTATATAAATGAAAGGCTCCTACTTGAAGACAACGAATTTGAAACCGTTATTGAATGGCGTATTACATTTAAGTCAATACAATTTTGTTTGTCAACAAAAACAACACCAACCATATTGTTTCCCTTTTCCCGCCCATTCACGGCAAGTTTTATTATGTTCCGGCCCTCTTACACGAAAAATTATTGATATTGGATCGAATCCTTTCCTTTTTATTTCCTTTGAGACTCGAACTTAAAAGATTGATCACCATAGTGCTCGAAGCATTAGCCGATATCGACCTGGTTGGTGATTCTTAAAATTGAAGTATGAACATTGAAGGAAGCAACAGTTTAATTGAAGGAAAATAAGAAGACGCAGAAAGCATGATAGGTAGCATATGCTGGTAAAGATGTAGAAAAGACAAAAGATTTTCATTTTCAGACCCAGAAATAGATCAAATTTAAAACAAATGCGAATTAGCTAACCACCTACTGCAGAATATTCTAATATAAAATCAGGTATTTCAGATAGCTCTGAGAGGATTTAATTATTCACGTACATCAGTACATGTTTGCTCTACTCAAAAATGTTATAATAAACACATTATTTTATAAAATGGCACTAAAAGCAGAGCGAGTGTACCTTCCAACAGTAAAACTCGGGATTAAAAATATGCTTCTTCAGTGACAAGTTGTCAAATTCCTCAGGTGCCTTCAAAGACATGCACTTTGAACTCATTCAGATGCCATAAATGATGTGATAAGTTACATTGGAATATGAAAAAACACCGTAATGAAATTAGGTGCGTGCTGCTCCAATTATAAATTTAATTATGGTTACAAAAGCTTCTTTATTCAAGGAACTTTAAAGACTTCGCTTGTAAAATGAGGAAGTTACGGAAAACTTTGGAGACACAATAAGTTTCAGCATTAGACCCATCATGTAACAAATAAAGTTTGCAAGGCAGTATTTTACAGACTTCCATACAATTTATGAAATTGGAGCATATTTTCTTTATATCACAGATTTAAATAGTATATTTAAATCTGTGTTTATATAAAGCTGTACTTCATATTGATTACGTCACGTTTTCTTCGTAACAGCACGTCCGAAGTTTCTATTATAGCTTTATACCTACATACATCGGTTTAGTAATGAGGATCTTGTCTCTTGCATCACTGTAGTATAAATTTTAAAA